CACCTCTCGGGCAGCGGAGTCCGGGCGAGGGGCAGCCTCGGGGCTCGGGAAGCGCCTGCTTGCCGGGCTCTTCGCGAGGAAGCCGCGGAGTCGGAGGGGTCTCTTCGGCTGCCCAGCCAGCCCCGGAAGGCTCCTCCGTCTCCAGATCTAGAGAGTCGGGCAAAGCAGAAAGGCTGCCAGATTGCAGCTTCTGCGCTTCCCGCTCAGGGGCTCCATTTTGAGGGGTGGCACAGGACGATTGTTTCTTGAAGGAGAGCCCCTTCTGGGCGAAAGGTTGAGTTCTGTACAAGCTCCGCTCCTCAGGACGGCAGCAGGCTTAAAGCTGGGGCTGCTGAGAGCATCTGCAGGTCAGAGGCTCTTGGTTCACCGCTCTGGGAAGCTGTCCTCTTTCCGGGACTCGGAGGCAAGGAAAGAGTCCCTTGGGCAGAAGTCCAAGGGGCTAGGCTGATCTGCATCCCGTGGAAATATTCCCGATATCTGAGTCCTCCCAAAGTGTCACCCTGGGTTGATATTTGTGTGTGTGTGTGTATATATATACATATATATATATATATATACATACATACATACATATATATATATATATATATACATACATACATACATACATACACACAATCCCACAAAGTACTAGATTTTTAAACGTCAAGAGACCTGAACATCCTTTGTGATATGTAACTGCTGTGGAAGTGCTTTATCTTGTGTGAATGGCTAAGATTTTTTCCTACAACGTGGTGCAACTATCTTTCATCGGTGGTTGTAATATACTGTTATGCTTTTAATCCTTGCAAGCCACCCGGAATCATCAAGTGCATGGTTTTAGGAATGAAAATTACAAACGAATGAATAATGAAAGAAAGTTCTTCTCAGTACCTTGGACTACAGGGTCTCTATTCATTTTCATCTTAGCCTGGAAACTGAATGCACTTTCCATTGAATGGAAACAATCTACTCATCCAGGAGAGAAATCCTTTATCTTCCAAGATGGCTGAAGGGGGCACTCCTTGTCAGTCTGCTTCCATGAATAAAAGTTGCTTTGCAGATTCAGAAGAGCCTTTGAATTTGTTTGGACAAGAGGCAAGAACCAGGCAGAACATTCTGGAAAAAGCCACCGGTTGGATTTTCCATAATTGCCCTTTCAGGGAGCTCTGTTACCAGGAGGCTGAGGGACTCCAAGAAGTATGCAGCGGACTCCACCACATTTATGGTCAATGGCTGAAACAAGAAGACCACATGAAAACTCAGATGCTGGACCTGGTGGTCCTGGAGCAGTCCCTGGCCGTTCTGCCCCCAGAGATGGAGAGCTGGGTCTGGAAGGGTGGAGCAGAGACCAGCTCCCAGGCAGCGGCCCTGGCCGAAGGCTTCCTCCTGAGTCACGTGCAGCAGAAGATACAGCGAAAGCAGCAGGTGAGATCATAAAAAGAAAATGAATTCTTAAATATTTCCATTCTAATATAATCAGCAGGATTTTAATAAAATCACGTCCTTGTTAGGTAAATGCTTCCATCCTCCTTCACCCTGATAATTTCCAAGGACTTCTAAGAAGCCCAGTCCCTTCTTCCAGAGGGGCTGTAAAGTTGGGGCAGGAGGCAGTAATGTTCTCTTTTCTCTTGGCTGCTATTTCAGGTTCAAGAGCTCTTCATGGAGGTGGCCACCCAAGCGCCTAAAGCATTAGGGGATGTGTCATATGCCCCTCAGAAACCCGTCTTGGGGGGGATCTCCCAGGAGGACCCATCTCAGATCCCACCATCAGGTAAAAGAGCATTCCTTTTCATGTATTGGAGTCCTCAGGAGTATGCACTGCCTGAACTCTTTTTATTCATGAGTTTCTTTTACAGTAGTACCTTAGACTTGTGTGCAAGACTGGCCTTTGTGCATAGTTTTTCTCCAGCTGTTTTTAAAACAAGCATCTCCTCCGCTTTTATCTTGCTCTCAGAAAATGGAACAATGGTGATGATACCGGTGGAAATAGCTCCTTTTTGTGATGGAGCAGAAACAGCGGTTGTCCTGCCAATTCAGGTAGGAGGAAGATCCCCACCTCTCAAGTGCAACATGATTTATTCAAGGAACATGCAACTCTCTTCAAAGTGGTCTGAATCCCCTTTTCAGAGCTAGTTTATTAGCTCCCATCTAACCAGTTTTTCAGAGCATAAGCAGTCTCCCAATGTTAAAATGTCATATAGGAGTCTCCCAATACGTGCTCGATGAAGCAACCTTGCAGGGAGTGTTGGAGTCCAAATTACACCCTAGTCTTGCCTCAGGCGTTGACTAAGGAGGATATTAGGGTTGTAATCACTAAATGGAATTGAAAGTCCTACAGAGTCAGCAAAATTGGTCATTAGGGTGGAGGATTTGCAAATACTTTCTGGAACTGTACATTAACAAGTAATGCTTTTGTACTTCAGGTTCCCGTGTCCTTCGAAGATGTAACTGTGTTTTTCTCTGAGGAGGAGTGGGCTCTGCTGGATTTTGACCAAAAATCCCTATACAGAGAAGTCATGCTGGAAAATGCTAAGAATGTGGACTCCATTGGTAAGGGATCCCTATTGCTCTGGGTTCAAATAATTGGGGAAGGTAATTTCTGGTTAGAAATAACCACTTTATCAATTTCTCAGAGGAGGTTTAGATCTGTATTTTTCCCACGGAGAACTGAAATAATCTTATGTGCATTGTGCCTAGAGTCACATATGTGAGATGGGTGGCTATATACATCAAAATAATAATTGTATTATTATTATACTATTATTATAAAATTATTATTGACTTAAAATTGTTGATAAGAAAGACAAAAAAGTCTTAATATTGGACATTGCATACCTGGAGACAGCATAATGGAAGAGAAAGAACTGGAGAAAATCACAAAATACAAAGACCTGCAAATAGAAAATAGAACAACTGTGGCAAAAGAAAGCAAAGATAGTACCATTAGTAATAGGCCCCTTGGGTGCAATCCCAAAACATCTGGAGCACTGCTTGAAGATCATCAGCATTGACAAAGTCACCATCAGTCAATTGCAAAAGGCAGCTTTAGTTGGAAGAGCTTACATTCTGAGATGATACCTTTAACACCACCAAACAACATCTGCCTATCCCAGGTACTTGGGAAGGACTGGATAAGCAGATAAAAATGTCAAATCCAGTCTAAACATCTGGCTGACTGCGCAACCAGAACAACAGTAATAGTAATAATAATTGCTTCTCCCACTTGTTCCAGTAGGAAGGGTGTCAGAGTCTGCACACTCAATCCCAAAGTTCAGTAAATCCTCTGGAGTCCAAAGAGTTCCATTACCGATTT